AATAGTAATTCGAAAATTCTTAGGAATTGTTTGTTTTCTATTGCTTGCTCCGTTTCTTATCACCATTTTGATGTTTTTATATATCTACCGTTGTTGGGTGGAAACTGTGCTAAGAATTCAACTTAAAGACAAATTTGCCGGTCTGTTGGAAGGCTCGGATGCTATTTGGTCCGTCGAAGATGCATCTTTATCCTTGAATACTGTCGTACTAATAGTGAAAAAAACCGCAAGAAGTACAAATACGACCTTCCTGAACGATACGAGAAAATTCTTTAATTACGTATTTAAGACTGCCCCCAAGAGTATCGAAAAACTGTTTTACTATAGGTATCAAAAGTTTGGTTACTTTTATTGGGAGAAATCAAAAGAATTTAATCCAGAAACCGCGATTAGATGGTTGGAGTGTGAAATCAGTAATTGCGATGGATCTTGCGAGAATGTTCACAGTACAACATTTCAAGAAAATCTAGGATTTATATGCAATAGACCGTTGTATAATGATCACAAACCGATGTGGGAAATTCTCATCGGCAGACGTTGTCCAAAATCCAGATCTTACATTAAAGAGGATCCGAGCTTGTCTTCTCAAGACCGCTTTAATACCGATGTAGACGAAATTCCTGTAGTATTCCGCACTCATCATTCTCTTGGTGACGGTAAAGCCTTATTCAATTTGCTTAATGTGATTGTCGACGAGAATATCTCAATTGAACTGTCGACAATAATAGAAGAACCCAAAGACGGCGTCTTGACAGCTAAAGAAAACTATCTTAAGGAGAAAGCAATTTTTCCAAAAAGAAAAATTATTTTACACTTAAAAGAAGTATATAACACAATTAAAGGAATCATGAGAAAAGTAATACTTATATTGTTTTCTCTAGAAATCTTTGTCTCTCAAATTGTTCGTAGTATGGATGGCAAAAGGTCAGTATATCGAAATACGTCAATATTTAAATATCCTAAAACACTTAAATAAAATAATATATTTTTAAATAATAATTATATAAATTTTCAATATGCAAAATATGTAATGTTTAAAATCCAATTTTTACATATGTAAATACTATCTTCATAAAATTGATACTCATCAAATTGTCTGTCGTGATATTTAAATAAAATATTTTAAGTTTTATAACATAATGAATTAATCTTGTAGCACTCTGCATGGTCGGCCTTTAACAGGTGAGAAACTTACATTTTCTCGTTTGGAAAACGATACTGATAAACCGCAGCTTCTGACGAAAATTAAGAAAATAAGACAGTGTACAGGAGCAAAAGTTAATGACATAATATTAACAGCTTTTGCTGCCGGAATAATTAAATATTATTTACGCGTAAGTATAATTAATACTAATGGTGCGAAATGACGCCAAAATGAATTCTTTATATGTACAAATATGAAACAAAGTGTATATTTTTTGCAGATGAAGGAATTAATACCCAACGCAATATCGGTCATCATACCAAGAAGAATCTCTACGCCTAATAACGACTTAGTACTGACCAATGATATTTCGTTTAATATACTTAAATGTTGTCTTGTCAACGCGAACAGAGAAGATGTTTTAACGTCACATAAAAACTTTCGGTTCTTTGAACGTCTTCAGAGAACTACAATAATAAATAACAAAATTAGAAATAGCTTAGAAGCACCGTTAAATTTTTTCCTGGTTAAACATTTAATTGGAATTTTGCCGGTGGAAATTATAAGACCTCTTATTGCAACTGACAGCACAATGGGATTTAGCAATATAAAAGGAATACAAAAAAAAGTTTCTATTCTAAATCATCTTCTAAGCAACATGACGTTCTGGTTACCAAACAAGTATAGTATATCATTATTATCTTTTATCTTAACTTACGTATAAAAAAAAATTAGAAATATTCCAGAGATATTAANAAACCATTCTTATATATAATATATAAGATATATGTACATGTATATATACAAATATTAAAATTTATATTTTTAGAAATACAACCGGATTGTCCTTAAGTGTAGTTACTTACGATGGCAAATTAAATCTGTCTCTATTGGTTGATAAAGCAGTAATAGGAGATATGAAATTAATCAGAGAAATAATAGACGAGACTATATATGAAATANACTCTGCGTATAATGATCTCGCATAACTTTCGGAATCATCGGATTGTTCAGTGAGAACACTTGTGGAAAAAAATAGATAAATAAAAATCTCGATTAAGTTTTGATATTTTACTTTCCTGTGTTGCACAAATAAATCAGTTTTATTTTGTTGTGTGGCAACTTTGAGATAAAGTTTGGTAATAAGTTTCTTTGAAAAGAAAAGAGTAAGAAAGTGGGCCATTGAGCAACGTGATGAACCATCACTATCGTTGCTCAATGACCTGTTTAGGTTGCGGGGCACCAA